GGAAGAAAACAAAGCAGATCTTTTCTTGCGGAGAATGTAATCATCCTGGGGGCTGTGGCCAAATTTGAAAGCAGCCATCTTGTACACTGAAAGAAACCAGCCAGGAAGGAAGGGCTATTGCTCTTCTCCCATTAGTAAGTTCTGACTGGGGGGAAAGAAGAAAGCATAAGACTGTAGATAAATAGTAACTTGAGATGTGCAGGATTACCTAATAGCCTAATCTCTTGGCCTACTGTGGTTAGATTCCTGGCCCCATAAGCTTGAAAAACACACCCAGGAATGTGCACATGAATGCCCCAAACCCCAACAGGATGGAGAGACGGAAGAGAAAGGATTGCGGTGTGACCACACCCCACCAGAAGATGCTAGCTCCCTCTCCCTCTCTGTCTGTCTCTCTGGTGAGTGTACATGTCCCATGAACTCTTCCCCATCCCACACTTGTTCTCCTGACAATTATTTTCATAAGGTATCTAAAGCAATTAGAAAGCAACCAGCTTTCATTATTAATTGGATACATTATACACTTAACAGACAGGTGTTCAATAAAGAGATGAGATGAGATATTAACTGCCAATGAAACATAAGCCTGCAGTTCTAACCAGAATGGTCCTTCACTGTTACCCATCATGCCAGATTTATTTTTACCTGTGGGTTTTGTTTATTCCACCCCTCACTTGTAACATGTATGCCCCTTACTCCGTCTTCCCTCTTTCTCCCTCCAGTGGCTAAAGCAAACTCTGCACATCCATCACACACCTTTACAAGATTCTATCTATGCTCACAATTTCATGATTGCTGGCAGAGATTAAAAAAAAAAACCTATACTATTATTTATTTTATATTTTTCTTAGCTTTTTGCAGTTTTTATTCTTAAATTTGTTTGGAAAGGAAACTACCTAGCCAGCCAGTATTTGCTGGTTAAAGCAGCTGGATCCCACATGGCTGACTGTGAAATTAGAGTCCCAGGTCCAGCAGAAAAACCCTCCAAGCACATGCACATGCATGCCAAATTTCCCCCCCCCAAAAAAAGGAAAAAATGGAGAAGGGATTGCAACATGACCATCCCCAATGGGAGGGGTGCTTTCTCTCTTCCTTTCTCTCCCTCTCTCCCTCTCTCTCCTTCTTTTCTCTGGTGAGCACATGCACTCTCTGGAAAATTTTTTAAAAGAAGAAGGAAAGGGAAACCACCATTAATAAAAAAATTCACTTGCCAAATTCACTTGGCATAAGACTTAATCATTTTTACTTAAAAATAAACAAAAATAAGCATGTACTAGATATTAAGGACATATATGAATAAAATTGGTATTTGAAACTTTTTCAAGTAAATGGAAAGAAAATGAAGTGCAAATAACTTTTTAATGTTCCAATCTTATTTAATGTCATGTTCTTCATAGGCTCTCTCACACAATACTATCATTTCACACTTTGGAAAATATTAGTTTATTGATTGTCTGTCCTGCCTCATTTCCATTGCGAATTGCAACCTTTGTCTATGTCACTTATTGGAGGGCTTAATCATAACTTTTCTTATGTACTATTTATTTAGTTTATATTGGTTCAGTCAGGAAGATATAAGAGGAACCTTAGAAGAAAAAAATGTTAGTTGCAAATCATGGGTTAGCCAAACCAGAAATAATCTCCTGTCCACTGACTCAATCAGTGCCATATGGGAGAATGGTAAAGAAAACTTGAATTGGTCATAATAAATTATTCTCCAGCACATAAGTAGAGAATTATGTGTGGATATACTGTGTATATTCTTGCTCCTATACCTGTTATTGATATTGTCATGTTCTATTAGGCCATTGGGAAAGTCAAGATGTATTTTCCTAAGTTTTTCTATGCAAAAGGGCATCATGATTTTCCAGACAATCCAATATGTAACTATAGCTTATTACCTGGAAATATAATATCCTTTGTAATGTAAAAATATTTGGCAAGATTATTTGTTGGATTGCTATTTAAGCTTTCTGATTTAAAAGCTGAGTGAGTCAAGTTTAACTTTGGATTTATGTGATCACTATTTCAAAGTTCATTTGCATTTTGTAAGACTTCACTTTCAAACCCAGAGAGTCAAACTCAACAGGCTTTTCTTTTCTTTTTTCTTTTTGGAGAGGTTTTTGCTATAGGATGCGTGGGCTCGCCAGAAAGATAGAGAGAGACAGGGAGACAGAAAGTGAGAAATCACCCCCCAGGGGGGATGATCACATTGCAATCCCTTCTCCTCCATTCTCCTCTTGGGATCTTGGACACTCTGACAAATGTGCCCAGCATGAGTTTAAGCCACCAGGTCCAGGACTCGAACTGCTGTTGACAACATGGGAGTCCAGCAATGTAGCCATTACACCATTTGCTGGTCCCAAAACTCAACAAATTTTAAGTTGCCAACTACCCTAACTAGGGTGTTGGTTGTTACTAAGCAGCTGAATTTGAGATTGATTAACAGAAGTACACTATACTCATTTGCTATTTGACTCTCTTCATTTCTGATATAAATCAGAGCTTCACATTTTCTCAACGCACATGCATATCATGCACTTTACAAATAAAAACCAAGAATAATCACAAAGTCTTCACTTTTCATTAATTCTCAAGACTTTGGCCTTATCTCTTAACAATTATTTTTATTATATTCACACAACTGAATCTACATTTCTTAGTTGTATTTATATAAAAGTGCTTTATCATCTTCAAAGCATCTCCCTGACTTTCAGGAGAAAAGCATATGTTCCAATCTTGATTAAGTATTTGAGATTCGATGAATGTTATCCATAAAATAACTATTCATTCTTTTATATAAAAGTCTAGACTGCTTAGAACACTTAATATAAGGATTTTGAATTGATTTTTTTTAAGATTCAGTATGTCAAGGTAGAGTTATATTTCTCTTATATTTTATGTCCCTCTAAAATTACTACACATTTCTCAAAACTAAAAGGATAGTCAGAAGATTTTATTTCATATGAGTTTAAAATGTTTTATTCTCAATTGAGTTTATCAGCAGAAAAGGTTATGACCTGATATTAATAAGAGGAACAAAGGATTTTGATTTTCTTTGTATTCTAATCCTCCAGCAGCTAATAAATATTTTAACTGCATCTTCCAAATGCAGCATTATGCCTTGTTCAAAAGAATTTTAACTAGTTATCAAAAGTAGGAATTAATTACTTAAGCTTTCCATTTGGAGCAGTTTAGTGGAAGGAAAAGCCATCTATTTTAGTGAAAGAAGGTAGAATTTACAACCAACAGACCTGAATTATAATCCTAGGTTCCCACATGAGAAAGTAATTTCCCTTCTCTCAATAAAAGCTTGCATATATACAAAATGGGAGTAACAATATCCTCTTATAAACATGTACAAATAATTTATGACCCTGACCATAATAGTTACTTTAAAAGACGGCAGCTATCATTATATAATAAGCAAGTTTTCAAAAATATTGGTCTTCTCTTAAAAATTTATTTCAAGTAAGTAGAATTAGTCTATTTTTTTTTCTTATTCTCCCTATTTATTCCATGTGTTTCTATGGGAGACTTATGCTGCCACAGCCTGGTGGTAGGCACTAGAATCACGACTTGCAGGAAGGAGAAATCGGTCCTCAGGGATTTACATTCTAGCAGACAGTAAATGATGTTTAAAGAAGTAAATGTCACTATAACAATGAAAGTGCTGTTGAACACGTGAAGCAGGGGTTGATGGATGGGAAAGGGTGGGAGAGGAGACAACTTTAGGTAAGCCGGTTGGGAAAACATCTGAGTGGTGACATCTGAGCAGAGTCTTGAAAGGAAGAAGGAACCAAGGTGGGCCTGCCTGGGGGGAACACTGAGGTGTAGAGAAGGGCGAGAGGAAACAGCTGAGCAGGAAGAGCCTGTGCCCTGGATCTACGTAGAGAAGCCAGGAGGTGGAGCAGGATGAACCAGACCTACGTGTTTGGAGATGAACTGAAAATCGAGGCAGGGACTCATCCTGTGCAGACTTGCCAGGCATGGTGAGGAGAGGAATAGGGAGCCATCTTGTAGGCAGCTATGGCAGGTAGTGAGGGAAAGACACGGGTGCTGAATGGACAGTAGTGAAGTCGGTGGAGGAGACATGTTTGGATTTGGAATATAGTTTGAAACCAGAGGGGTAAGATAAAGAGAAGACTCAAGAAAAGTCACTGACTTTTTTTGTTCCTGCAACTGAAAGACTAGTACCATGCTTTGACCAAGAAGGTGGATGGGGCAGACTGGAGAATCTCAGTTAAGAGTTCTGTTTGGGGCTTGATAACCTTGAGACATGAACATACCAAATGAAGTGAATATATTGTATAAAGGATACAAATGGTAATTTTTAAATGTCATTATTGGGTTTCTATTTGTTTCATGTAAAAAATCTTGTTCAGGCCACATACACCCAAAGTCATTGAAGTGATTGTGACTGTAATTCTCTCAAGAGACTGTCCTTGCAGAAATCTCTTCTGGACTACATTTAACAAAAAGGAGTAACTAAGTTCAAAAGTCTCTATTTGAATCTTCCTGTGTCTCCCCCAGGTCATGAGATGGGTCATATCTTGGCAGGATTAAACACATAACAGTCCCATTAAGGAAGCACCGACCAAAGGGCGCATTGTTCTTTACGTTATTTCAGAGTATTCAAGATCATTGCACCAGATGTTCTAAAGCAAACTATGGCCCAGAGACCAAATAAGGCCCCTGCCTATTTTTATAAATAAAGTTTTATTGGAACACAGTTATATCTAGTCTCTAAGTATTCCACAGGGCTCCTTTACACTAAAAGACAGAGTGTAGTGACAGAGGTCGATGGCTCATGAAGCCTAAAATATCTGACCTTTTAAGAAAAAAGTGGTTGACCCTGCTCTGCAGTTCTAATAATATAGGCTCACCATTTTACAACTTGAAAAAAGGTGAATCAGAGATGATCTGAGATTTATATTCATTTACGGCCTGAAACATTGTAAACAAATTTTAGTAATTGTTTTCTCTTTTTTCCTCTAAAGCTGAGAATCAGAGTTCAATTGGAACAACAGAAAAAACAGGTGAGTTATTTTTCTGAGTATATTCATGAGTAAAATCCAAAAAATGAGATAAAGTAAGCCAATCAGTTTGAGGGCAGAATAAAATAATACAGGGTAAAATATTACATGACAACTAAACATTGCTTAGGAAACCTTGAGTTGGAAAAACAAACAATTGTAGACCAGAAGAATATCCAAGAACATTTTTGAGTTCTCTGTGGCCAAGGTGAGTGGAGAGCCAGCTTTGGTGAATATATACAACTCATGAAATTGTCCTCTGCACAGAAAAACACTGTTTTGGGTCTATTTCTGCGGTCAATGAGCCTTCTAGAAGGACAGTATCTTCTCTGCGACTTCCAACAAAGGCTGGTCTTAGCATTCAAAAAGACGATGTTGTAAACCATAGTTAGCAATCTAACATGCTTCCATTCTAAGAAGTACTCATGTTTTACCATCTCTTAATTTTAAAACAGAATGAGTTTTAGAGAATGAAGCAAGAGGAATTAAAAAATATTGTTGGGTAGGAGAAGGTGTCAATGTGTTTTCTTATAGTTTTGAAAGCATAGTTACATGAAGGATCTTTATCTTCCTACATCTTACCTCACAAAACAAATTCATAGGTTCTCAATCTGGGCCACTCCTGGTATAAATAAAATAAAAATGTAAAATAAATCTAGAAAATGATGTAACTTAAAATACCAGAAAAAATAAACTGATGAGCAACTCTAATACTATATTCACAGTGAATGTCCTACATAATCTTCTTAGTGTACCTTTTACCTCCTATGTACAAGAAATTTGAAACAAATTATTATGCTTTTAATTTTTAATTACATTCTTCTACTACATAATATATATCATAAAAATAGAATTATTTTCATATTATTAATACTCTTTGCTCTACCTCATGGTCAATTTTTTTTTATTATTATTTCTATCTTCATGGTCTAGAAATGGGCAAACACTGGAAAAAGAAAGCAAAACAAAACATAAATACAAGGGGCATTCGAAAAGTCATAGAATATGTATATTATGAAAAAATTATGCATGGAGTTCAAAAAAATGTGGGGCCCAAAATACACTCATACTTTAATTCCAGTTTTGTACCAACTTTCTGAAGTCCTTTCAAACAGAGCATCAGATCAGAGAGGTTTGATGTGGTCCTGCAGGAAGTTCCTCCTTCTGCTTTGGGGATTGTCTATCAAGGAAGACAATGTTGGAAGAGAATGGCTGACCGCAGTTTGAATCCGGCCCTGGGGCTCTTGTGTACATCCTCAAAATCCCAATAGGAGAGAGAAGTGGAGGAGAAGGAATTATGGCGTGGCCAGGGCACACTAGTAGTGCTTTCTCCCTCACCTTTGCTCTCTGTCTTTCCCTGTCCCTCTCTGCCAAGTGCATGTGACTGCTAGCAATTACACAAAGAAAAAGAACTTTAGCTATATGTTAAAACTAAAGACTAAACCCAGATTCACCTCCCCCAAAAGGATGAACTCACATAGTTACTAACAGGGTATTTTTTTTTTTTACTTCTATTGATAACTCTATTTTTTTTTAGATTAACAACTCTTTTAATCTTATGATTTGAAATCAAAGTTATTAAAATATTAAACTTGTGAAATACACAACCATAAGACGGAGGATAGTATATTGCTAAAAATATTAGTATTTCATTTTTAGATAGAAGTTGATCTAGATTCTAGCTCATAGAATTACCAAATCCTGCTTCCTTCCTATAAACGTAAGTTAATATGTATTTAAGGTTTGATTATATTACACACTGTTCTCAGATTTCGTATTTTCTTTCATGTCCTATATCTAGCTTTACTTCTTTGAAAAATCACATTTTTACCACCTATTCAACTATTATTCAGGGCATAAAAATTGATAATTATTTTGTATAGGACCTTTTTAGGGATTCAAATAAGGAAGGAAATGCTATATAAAATGTGATTTATAAACAGTTATACATGGATATAATGATTTAACAATACAAAATAAAAATAGATCCAAGTTGAGTGATATCAATGAGATGACTAACTAGAAATTCCTAGCACTCTTGCCCTCTACAAATAAATAAATAAATAAACAAACAAACAAACAAACAACTACATCTTGAGCAAAATAACTAAAGGGGAGCTTGGGAGAACAGCCAAGCCTGCAGCAGAAATCCTGCAGAGCACAGACACCCAGGACAGTCACAGAAAGAAGGAAAAGAAATACCTCAGCCAGCCCATTCCCCAGCTGGGATCCCAGTTGGCTCCTGTTTTTCTTTTGTAATCATTAAATGAATGAAGAAAAAAATTAATGCTGTAATGATTTTAAATATGTGCCAGTACTAATATTAAGATAAAAAAGGTAGTCTCATGAATACGCTTTGTCATTAACCATAGTCACTTCTGCTGCCAGATGCTTGCTCATTCAGCACACCCTGGTGGGCCCCATTCCTGGAGACTGTTCGAACACTTGGGAATCATCAGGGTGCGACATAAAGACCCTTGCTCTCAGCCTCCGAAGGTCATCAGCTCTGAGCTCACCATAGATCCCTCTATGTCAGCCCCAGGAAGAACATTAGGCTCAAAATTTATGAATTCAGACAAGTGCTATCATTTTATACTATGATCATGCTAAAAGGATGAAGTTTCTAAAACTGTGGGTTACTTCTCATTAGTAGGTCATGATCTATATTTTTAAAAATCATATATACGAGAACAGAAAATAATACCAGAAGGCATTACATGTAATAGGAGTAAATTGTGTGTGTGTGTGTGTGTGTGTACTTGATTTAACTGAGGTTTGTAACTTTAAAAATATTGGGAAGTTTCTGTTTATTGAGCCACTAGATCCTTCCATTAAGAAGGATTAACTCTACTGCCTCTCTGTGGATCATTAGCAATAGCCATTGGCACTGGATAATCAACACATTTTAAGCAGGGAGCTCGGAGTTTCATTTGAACCAGAGAGATCCTACTCAGTCCTGAGGCTGCCACTTAACCTGTCTGTGAGTAGGTAATGAGGTAGGACATGGAGTCTTGAAAATTAACCCTTGGGAAATCCCAGGAAGATTAGTACCATTGGTTATTTAACCAACCGTCTCGTTCTCTAGCAACAGGACTGAAAGAGCCTGTATCCTCACTGAAGCGTTTAACACAGGAAAAAGCAACGGCAAGTTCCACGGTTTCAGCTAGTTCCCACTCTTGCATTGAATATTCCTTTTTCTGCCTGGGTAGCGCAGTAGCCTGACATTTTTCTTTGTTCTTATGGGCATATATCTAGCTTCCTCCCACAGACCTCTTGCGTGGCAAGGATGGTACAGACTCTAAACATTATTCTTCCCCCACAGATGTCAAAACTGCAAGAACTTGCAGTGCGTGCTGGGCTGTGGGTGGCAGAGAAGGAAGGAGCCAAGGCAGTCAGAGAAATCTCAGTTTCACTGGTGCAATTATACACGATCTCAGTACTCCAAAAGGACCATAATTATAAGAGATGCCCCTTAATTCAGACAAGCCATCGACTACTCTTTCCTGCCTACCCACTGCAGCCCAAGCTCCACGTAGGGTGTGGCCTTTGCGCCCTGGGAACTTGCAATTCAGTGCAGGAACAAGGCAGACGGGGGTGATAGAAATGAAAAACTTCATTCTCCAAGAAAAAGAACATTGATTTGCCAAAATCTGTTTAACTACAAATTATACTTTACCTCAACTTCTTTATAGAAAAAATAATATACACTTAGAAAACAAGTATTTCTCTTTCCTTTAAACTAGTTGAGATGTACAGGTTTTAAATAATAACATTTTTATTTATAATTTTTGTTTGGTTCCTTCTGATTCAAAGTGGAAAAGGTTAACTAAGCAAATAAGTAATCACACACTTTTAATGAATTTTCCTTGGAAAGAAGCAGCATGGACAGTAGTGGAAATACAAAGAAGCAGCAGTTACTTTAAATAAAGCACAGAGTATTGGGACCAGCAGTTAGCGTAATGGCTGTGTCGCTGAACTCCCACGTAGTCTACCACAGTTCGAGTCCCGGACCCAGTGGCTTAAACTCACGCTGGGCGCATATGCGCACGTGCCCAAGATCCAGAGAGGAGAAAGGAGGAGAAGGGATTGCGGTGTGGTCATCCCCCCTGGGGAGTGATTTCTTGGTTTCTGTCTCTGTCCCTCTCTGTCTTCCTGGTGAGCACACGCACCCTATAGCAAAAATCTCTCTAAATAAATAAATAAATAATATTATAAAGCACAGAGTATAAACAGCTGCTGAGCCATAGGAAATCAAAATGATGACATCTTCGATTTTCCCTCAGTGGTTCTGACCAAAGTCTCATGCAATCTTGACTCTTTAGCCACTGAGAAATATGATAAAATCAAAAGTCCCATGCGCTATACCCAGTTCAGATATGGGTGATGGAAACAATCATGCTCATCTGATTACAATTGAAATGTGAGTAATGCATTTACACAGCATCATATTCCCAAAGGATGTCAGGCACTAGGTTATACAGCCTAGGGTAAGAGATCTAAGCTTTCTTGACCACCTCTTGAAAGTGTAATGCTGATACCTAGTTTTTTATTCCAAACTTAATCATCCTAAACCAAAAAAAAGAGAGATATTTTTCAGAGAGACAGAGAGAGACAGAGAAACAGAAAGAAAGAAATCACCTTCCAAGAGGAATGACCACGCTGCAATCCCTTCTCCTCCATTTTCCTCTCAGGATTTTGGAGCACATGTATACACACATGCCGGGCATGAGTTTTAAGCCTCCAGGTTCGGGACTTGAACCATGGTTGATTACGTGGGAGTCCAGTGACATAACCATTCCTCCATTTGCTAGTCCTCAAATCATCTTTTTTTAAAAAAAACTTAATCATCTTTCCAAGAGTAATGGTTGTGAATTTAGGATTCAGTGTTTCGATTGTACATACCCCATTACTCAACAATAGTTTTCACAGATCTTCAAAATGCAAACCATTTGAATCTGCAAAGAAATCCAGTATGAAGAGTTAATATCCTATTCTCACTATGGATTTGTGATTTTTCTACAGTTAGCACTCTACAACCAAATGCATCAACCTCCGAAGCCAGTGTGTCCTCTTCCATACCAACAACGATTCCAGAAAACACTTTGCAGTCTCAAGGTATGACTTCTGTGTGCCTGAGAAGAAACTTGCTCTACTTGGTCTTTCTCCACCAAGAAAACCCAACCAACCTTGAGGGGCAAAACAGCGCTCTTTCAGAAAGACATTGACTTTTTGTTTCGATACTTCCTTCAATGAGAATGAGGGAGGTTTGTGAGGGTTGGTACACGTGAACCAAAGATGACTTGTTTTTTCTTTCCTTAAAATGATAGGTACTGAGAATGGCAAAAATGCAAGTGCTTCAGCAACCAGTCCCTCGTATTCTAGTGAGTAACAGACATACCTTCATTCATGCAGTAAATACACAGACTAATTGAATGGGACCAAAAAAGGGAAGGGATCAGATTAGGAGTAGCCTTTTCTCAACCTTACTGAACCTGCAACCCCGTTATATTCCTAACTGCTGCTTGCTTTGAGAACTTCCTACAAGTGAATTTGCTTTTACTGAGCACACCTTGGCAATTTTTTCTTACATTAGTGTGAACCAATTACCACCCAGGGCCGAGGATGACTTGATGGGAATAGTTTCAGGTAGGCCAAAGGACACAGACAGAGATTTCTGTACAAATGAATTGCTCCCAAACTGTCATGTTGTACACCCTGAATATATTTTATTTTTATTTGTAAATTAAATATTTTAAATAAAAATAATCAAAAAATGAATTTTTGTATCGATAGAACTTTATTTTTTTTTTCAGAGAGTTTTTTTGTTTTGTTTTTGTTTTGTTTTTGTTTTTGTTTTTGTTTTTCTTATAGGGCGCATACACCGCTGGAGAGACAGAAAGACAGAAAGCAAGAAATCACCCCCCACCCCCGGGAGTGTGGCCATGCCGCAATTTCTTCTCCTCTCAGTATTTTGGGTATGCACACACACGTGCTCAGCATGAGTTTTAAGCCTCCGGGTCCAGGACTCAGACCTCAGTTAACTACATGGGAGTCTAGCAACATGACCATTACACCATTTCCTGGTCCCAATAGAACTTTAACATTAAAAATGGCCTTTAAGGAAGATCCCAATTGGGCCAGAAGGTGGCATAGTGGTTAGGGTGCTGGCTAACTGTGGTTCAAGTCCCAGACCCAGTGGCAGTGGCTCACTTTCTTGCTTTCTCTCTCTCTCGCTCTCCCTCTCTCTCTCTCTCTCTCCCTCTCTCTCTCTCTCTCTCTCTCGTGAGTGCGCATTCCTTATAGCAAATTTTAAAATAATAATATCAATAAATAAAATTAAACAAAATAATTAATTTCCTTAGCAATTAAGAATAATACAAATACATATGAAGCTAGCATCGTAAAAGATTACCTAAGGTGGAAATCAAAGCATTCCATTAAATGTCAGTGCAGGAATGATTGACCTGCTGATTCTTGGCATCTTCATTTTGGAAGGTAATGATGACCTCACCCAAGGTCTGTTACAAAATCTGTAGACCTAAACCACATATTTAACCCTGACAGGAGACATGTAAACCACCCTACAAATGAACTAAATGTGAGAAAACTATTCTCACCCCTGATGAAAGTATGATGAGCATGTATCCAAGCAGATGGGAATACCTAACAAAAGGACAACCTTAGCTTCTATCCGTTAGTTGTATCTCTATCATAGCTTTTTAAGTTCCATCACTACAATTTTACCTTGGGAAATGACCATCAGAAAATAGTGCAGATGCTTAAAAAATAGCACAACCCCTCCTCTTAATAAAAACAAGGAAAATTCACCCTCCATTACTGCAGCAACAGTACCCTAAACACAGACACTCACAAACAACACAATCAATCTCTCTAGAACCATGAGGCCTATCTTTAAGAATGAAATCTTCTGTGACATCCATTCATGTTATGTTATGCCTTTTATAGTTTTAAGATATTATTATAGGAGGATATATAGCATTAGGACAAGAGCTATGTATTTCTCTTTAGTCATTTTATTACAAAGCACTAAAAAATATAATGTGTGAGTTTGAGTTTAACTATAATCTAAAGGATATTTTCTACTTCTCCAGTCTCTCATCTCCCACTCCTCTAGTTCCCAGGAAGATGAGAACTCTCCCTCAAAGGTTTGGAATTCTGTTTCACAAAGGTTACAAGACTGACATCAAGTGGATATGTCTGAAATGACAACTAGAGCAACACACGGATCAGTCTTCTTGGCTTTAAATCTCGCATTTTTCATAGGATGACATTTAAAGATGAAAGGAAGCGTGCATGATTTGCTCAGTTAGTAAACTGCATGTGTAAAATTCAGTGCTCATTGTAATTGACAATGTCTTCAATTCCTTTTAGGTATTATTTTGCCTGTGGTTATTGCTTTGATTGTAATAACACTTTCAGTGTTTGGTCTGGTGGGTTTGTATCGAATGTGCTGGAAGACAGACCCAGGTAGGTAACAGTTTTCTGCTTAGCTTTATTTATCTCATCCTGTTTTCCTGAAAGGAGTGTGCACAAACATAGGCTGAGTCTAAACCTGAATTTAAACTCTTCAAGGGAGAGAGGAGTCATAGAAAGAAAGAAAATGGCATATTACCTGATCACAGAAGTAGAGGGGAAAGGGTGGGGAAATCTACTGAATGCTCGTGAGTGTGAACAGCAGGGATTAACTGCTAATGTAACTGCTAATGGTAGATGTTATCAAATGTGGACAAATTCTCTCTCTCTCTCTCTCTCTCTCTCTCTCTCTTATTTATTTATTTATTTATTTATTTATTTATTTTAGAGAGAGTTTTGCTATGGAGCACAGCCCAGAGAGGCAGAGAGACATAGAGACAGAAAGCAAGAAATCACTGCTCAGGAGGATGGCCATGCCACAATCCTTTCTCCTCCATTCTCCTCTCATGATTTTGGGCACATGCTCCTGGCATGGGTTTCAAGACTCGGGGTCCAGGACTCGAAGCATGTTTGGCCATATGGGAGTCCAGCAACATAGCCATTATGCCATCTACTGATTCTGACAAATTCTTTTTTTAGTAAGATAGCCCCAATTTTATGAATGGGCAGGGAAATATAGTAATAAAGGCATAAAACCACGCCCTGTTTTTAGAGGTTATGCCATTCTATGTGACAGAGTAAAAGAACTCGCTGAGAACTCAGTGGAGGGGCACATACTCTCAAGAAGCATGTTCTGTGACTTATTTCTCCTCTAGAGGCACAGTTTCCTTCCAATGAAAGTGTCTTCTGTGACTGTGTTTTTTTTTTTTTTTTTCAAAATAAACTTTATATTTTAGAATAGATTCACGGAAAGGAAAGGTACGACAGGAAGTTCCTATATAGTCCTCATGTGGTGTCCCTTTTATTTAGTACCTTACATTGTCATGCTATGTTTATCACAATTAACTAACCAATATTGATACGCTATTAAAATCATTAACTAAATTCCCCTCCTATATTTGGTCTTTATTTTCTGTCCCTGGAACATGGGTTTTCTTTTTTTCAATCAATGCTTCACCTGAATCCCCTTCAGCACTGTGGCTCAGCTGTTCCCTACGTGACTTTAGTTCAGATCTTCTTTTCTATTCTAGACCTCTGCCCCGGTCATGTAATGTAGTGTGCAGTATCCATGCTGTCATCCATGCCACGCCTTCTCCTGGAATGGCCAGCCCACCTCTTAGCTTTTATCACACTCAATCTCTAATTCGTCCACAACATCCAGCTCCTATACCAACTTATCCTAGTTTCATATAACATAGCACTTCTTCCAGCAAAACAATGGGCTGTCCCTTTAATTCTAACTCTACAGAATTTTATTATTCATTCATCTTTCTACTGTGTAGTTAACTTCTTTATGTGCCTGCCTCCCCTGCAAGACAGGCAACCCCTCCAAGTCATAAACATATCTCGTTCATGTGGATTTGTACCTAACATATAGCCAACCCTGATTATATGCTTGAAGAATTTAATTCTAACGTTCAATAAAATG